GTAATCTGGAAAACCCAAGGATGTAGATGGCATACAACAGCTGCTCAGAGGGGAAGCTGAGGTTTGAGTTAGAGCTATAAGAGACATGGCAATGGGGCTAAGGAGATGGTTCATCGGGTAAGGGTGCTTGCCACCAAGAATGACACCCTGAGTTCGATCCCCAGAATCCACATGGTGGAATACACACACCAATACTGTTCTAGTTTGCTTTCATATTGCTGTGACAAAACATTCTGACCAATGCCAACTTGGGGAGGAAAGGGTTTATTTGGCTTACATCTCCTGAGTCACAGTTCATCACTGAAGGAGCCCAAGGTAGGAACTCATGGCAGGAACCTGGAGGCAGGAGCTGGAGCACAGGCCATGGAGGAACACTTCTTACTGGCTTGCTCCCCTGACTGGTGCTCAACCTACTTTCTTATGCAATTCAGACCCACAGGCCCAGGGGTGGCACCACCCACTGTAGGCTGGCCCCTCCCACATCACCCAACAATAAAGATGCCTCACAGACATAGCCATAGGCCAGTTCAGTGAAGGCTATTCCCCAATTGAGGCTCCTTCAACCCAGGTGTGTCAAGTTGACAACTAAAGCTATCCAGCACACATACAAACATTAAGTAAATAAGTACATGAGGTTAGTACATGAGTAAATAAGTACATAAGTACAAGGCCAGCTTCAGCTCCCTAAAGAATCTCATATAGCCAGCCTTGGTTACCTGGCAGCCTGTCTCAAAAAATCTAAAAAAAATCAAAACAAAACAGGCAGGTATGATCCCTGTATTCTTAGATTTCAGAGAGACCCAAAACAGAGAATTAAAGATCATGCTAGAAAGTAAGAGCACTGAGAAAATAGCATAGGTGGGGGAGGGGTGGGGTGGGATGGAGACAGGGGTGCAGGTGGAGTGCTGTCCCTTTGCTTTAGGGAGGCTGGTCAGGCCCAGCCTCTCTGAGGTGGTGAGAGTTGAGCTGGGTCTGAAAGGATCAGAGGAACCAACTATTGGGCTGCAGAGATGACAGACAGCAAAGGCAAATGCTTGAAGTGAGTATTGGATTATGAGGTGAAGAAAACCTACCAGTCCTTTTGATTTTATACCCTCCTCCTCATGGATGCACCCAAGTCATCTAAACATGTTTACACACAACATTCTAAAGAGTACAAAAATACCATTGGGCCTGACTATCTCCTTCATGGTAGGCCTTCTCCATAAATCTGTTGCTATTCTCAGGCTCCTTCCTCAGGGTCCCTTATTCCAGGGAACACTAAACAGGATTTAAGTGTTTAAAAAGTTTAAAAATATTTTATAGCCGGGCGTGATGGTGCACGCCTTTAATCCTGGCACTTGGGAGGCAGAGGCAGGCGGATGTCTGTGAGTTCAAGGCCAGCCTGGCCTACATAGTGAGTTCCAGGACAGCTGGGGCTACAGGGAGACCCTGTCTCAAAAAGACAAAAAAAAAAAATTATTTTCATTTTATGTATATGAGTGTATATGCTTGCATGTGTGTAAGTGCACCCAAGTCACACAATTCCTGCAGGGGTCAGAAGAGGGTGTCAGATTCCCCTTGGAACTGGAGCTATGGATGGTTGTTAGCTGCTATGTGGGTGCTGGGAATTGAACCAGGTTCCTCTGCAAGAGCAGCCAGTGCTCTTAACTGCTAAGCCATTTCTCCAACCACTAAAAACTTTTATAACTTTTAGAAAAACAACAACTGTAAAAATCAAGCTTTCTGTGATGATGTCCAATATACAATATTTTTAAATATTAAGGTGATTTCAGGGCTAACTTACAGTCTGAAAAGCACTATTCTAAGCAAACATGTAGTAATAATTTCATTCACATACAAACCAAAACAGGGAAAAATTCAATATTAACTTCAAAGGTCACCCCCTCCTTCTCCTTTTTTTCCCATATACTTTGTTAAAGCAATGACAGCTAGGGCCTGTGAGACAGTCTGCAAGTAAAGGTGTCACCAAACCCGACAACCAGTGCTCAATCCTCAAGAGCCAGCCATATGAGAAGGGAACAGATGCCAAGGAACAGACTCCAGCAAGTTCGAACCTTGAGTGTGTGTACCACCCTAACACACATCCACAGAAACAAATGTTAAAAAAAAAAAACTTAAAAAAAAATAGCAATGATATAAAAAACAACAACAACAACAAAAAAAACCCCAGAGCGGACATTTTCAGGAGAGTTAGGGAGTCTGGGTCTGGGAGTGGGGGAGATGAGAGGAAAAAAACTCCAAATTGTTGATGAGGTAAAGGGAGATCTTTGGTTTTAGAGACTGCTCAATACAGAAGCCATAGTAACAAGAGGTGGTTACTATGTTCATCATGAACAGAGGACTGTCAGCTAAGCCTTTAAATGTCAGGTTCCCAGAGGGCAGAAAGTCTAGCCCTATCTTGCCTCACCAGACTCTCAGCTCCAGTTACAGACCTGTAACTACTTATCTTCAAGTCACTGCTCAAATCCTGGAAAAGGATGTTTTCTATTGCAAGGTACAAGAAATAGCCTTGGCTGTAATGGAAAGATTTCTTGTCTGTTAGTGACATAGTAAACTTTTAAACAGCTAGGATTAAAACAAGTGTGCTAATTTAATAGGTAATTTCTCAAAGGACACTAACCAGCAGGCTCTGTCAGCCAAGGGCTCTAATTCACAGAAACTGCCAATTTCTCTGTGAAGGCCTGTTACCACCCTCACCCCTGAAGTCAGAAGTGCATGCACCCAATTTCCAGACGCCCAGGGGACCCAGAGTAACCAAATCACACCTGCAAGGCAAGCATTTTCCCACAACTGCCATACAGTTGTCACACACAGAAAGCAGCTCATTTAAACTGTGCCCTTCAGCCCTATTTAGGGATATCACTAATGATTTCAAATTACAACTGTTGCTTTATCTCAAACAGTGATAAAAACGGGAGCTACATTAGTGATGCTTGTCTTTTAAGTCATTTATCTGCTCTGTTCTCAGGGGCAAAAAAAAAAAAAAAAAAAATGTTGAGACAAGTGAAAACCTGCCAGAGCTTATTATAGATGCAGCCCTCCTTTCTCCCTCCCTGCTCTCCAAGTCAGCACCCCTCCCTGCTCTCCAAGTCAGCACCCCTCCCTGTCTGGCTTTCCTGAATTGAGGCAGTAGCCTCCGGTAAGGAACTATAAGTGGTTCTTCTATCAAAACAAGGAGGGATTCGCCGACAGACAGGGAGTAAGTCAGGCGACAGAGGCAACAGCCCCCTCCCTCAGCCTGGCAGTTCAATTCACCCTGTCCCCCAGGGCAGCAATTGCTCGGGTTTCATAAAAAAGGAAGTCATAGAAGAGGGCCTTTAGCCCATCCAAATCCAGGAGCCCGCGATGGAACCCCCGCTGCCAGACCTGAGATGTGGGCAGGCGACTGACTGCATGCATGTGCTCAGGCACAGCCTCGCTAAGGGCGAGACCTGAGACCCACCAAGATGGACGAAGCCACAACTATTACGGTATGAAACGGCACCCTCCGGCACTGGTTTCGGTGTGGAAACCTCTCCAGATTTATTTTCAGGCAAGTGACTCACGACCTAGTCTCCATAAGTAATTCCATCAAAATGAGTCGCCAGCTCCACTAGCCCGACTTTCCGCTGCCCTCTGGCTGCCCCTCCCTCCCCGCCCATCCTGTAAACCCAGACAGCTCGCAGACAGAGCGAGAGTACCCCAGGGGAGCAGGAGACAGGCTCTCGAGCCCAGCCCCCACCCTCCGGGATGAATGAATGGGGCCACCGGCCGGAGCGCGGGGAAGGGGCGTGAGGATTCCGCGCGGGGTGTGTACCGGGGTGTGCGCGCGTGGGCACGCTCCCCCGCCAACTTACAGAGGTGGAGTTGGTCCTCGCCTGGCCCTGGTTTCGCACCTCCTGCTCCCGGAACTGCAGCCCAGCCAGATGCTTCTCCAGCGCCTCCCAGTCCATAGGGGGCACCGGGGGCTCTTCGGGGACGCACGTCCCGCTGTCCGGGGGCTGAAGGCAAAGCCCCCCAGCGACTCGTCCCCGGCCTCCTCGCCGGCCCCCTGCGGGCTGGGGCTTCTGGATCGCTCGGCGGGGGCCCCGGGAAGCGCTCGGCCGACCGGCCACCACCACGTTGCCATTGTGCCTGAGGTCCTGGGGGTCGGGCGGGTGGAGGTTGCCGTTGGGCATTGGGGACGGCATGGCGGTGGTGACGCTCCTGCCCCCGCTGCCGATCGTAGCGCTCACGTCCCCCGGCTCTCGGGCCGGACAGCGGTCATCCCGATACCCTCGCTCGTCCTCCTCTTCCTCCTCCTCCCCGTCTTCCTCCGGCGCCCACTCATCAATCACCTTCTTCTGGTAGACGGGAAAGGGCTCCTCATAGTCCTCCAGGGCAGACACCAAATCCAGACTGCCCCCCGGCGACGATGAGGATTTGCACTCGGAGCAAGGGGTCACTTTGGTGGAGTTGGACTGGGAGCTGGCGTGGCTGCTGCTGCTGCTGCCGGCGTCACTGCCTAGATCCATCCCATCCTCTCGGTAATCCTGCGGGGAGGAGGCAGAGAGTGAGCCGCTGGGTCCAGCCCGCTCCGGCCGCCCGCTGCCCGCTGCCCGCCGCGACCTCCCAGCGCCCAGCGCCCGCCTGCTGAGAGATGCGGTCCCCCTAGGAGGCCTGGGGGCGGGAGCCAGCTCCAGCCTGAGGCTGCCCCCACCCCTCCCGGCACAGCCAGACTTCCTCCCGGTAACTAACCGCGAAATAACAGAGGGGTGTCCAGCCACCGGCGCGCACACTTTTCACACGAGGAGCCCAGGGGCGCGCGCGGACTTTGTTTTAACCATTTTGTGCCAGGCGCGCCCCATCTCACCCCGCCCCGAGGATTCTCCCGGAACCAGACACTTTCCCACTGAATTCTGATTCCCTGGGGGCGGGACCCGAGGACTGAGGGGGCGGCTACTGATTTGGCACCTTGCGGGGGCACCGGGACTACCCCCAGCGGGCGGCCGCCCCGCCCCGCCCCCTCCGGGGCCACCCGCGCCGCCCAGCACCGCTTTACTTTCTAAGGAACCGCTGCGGTCGGAGGGCGCATCCCGCCTGCGCGCCTCCTCGGCCGGCCCCCTCTCTGGAAGGCTGGGCATCGGGGGGCGCTCTCGGCCCGTGCCCAGCAGGATGGCATCCTTCCCCCCCAACTACCTCCTCCGCCGAAGGTGTGCGGGGGCCCGGGGCGCAGTGACCAGCGCTGCAGGCGCCGCCGCCCTGGGGGAGGGAGGACGCACCCTCCCCAAGGCGGCAGCGCTGGTCCCGCCACGGAGCATGCCCAGAGGCTGCGGGGCGCGGCGCAGTCGGCTCTCCGGGTTTTTCTCCAGTGCAGGCTGGAGCAAGAGGCCGGCTACCGAGAGGCTGGAGAGAAGAGGGCACCCGCCTTGTGTAAGGGCCGCACCCTGGAGAGGGTGATGTGTGTTTCACCCACTCGAGTTCCTTGGACGTGCCTCAAGGCCTCTTCACGGGGCTCGTTCCCGAAGCCGAAGCCTGCTGGTGGCCCGAAGTGTGGGCCTGATGCCTTCCAATCCACGCGGAAGTCTCCGAGTGACCCTGGGAAGGACCTCCTATCCTCTCCACAAGCAAACACACAAGCCACGTGGGAGGTCAAGTGAGCGGTGCTCGGGGGTCAGGTACCATCATTTCCCTTGCACCTTCCTCCTCGCGGTTTCCCCTCCACAGCCCAGCTCCGCGGTCTCCACTTCCAAGTTCAGACTGTGGGTGGAACCTGTTGCTTTAGCTCACGTTTCCTTCCCCTTCCCAGCGGCACTGAGGATGACCTCAGCGAGGTGTGTGTTTGGTTACCGAGGGGGAAGTGTGAACAAGGATTGTTATCTGGCACCGAGGTTGGGAAGGGGGGTGGAGATCTGTCCTGAAGGTGGGGGGCAAAGAGAGGCGGTCCTGGGTGGTGGTGCCCCTGGCACGCTGGCTGTGCTTCCTTGAATTTTTCAGGAAAATGATTCAAAGACATGTATGTTTTCCAAAAACAACACGCACGACTGAGTTTGCCAGCTCCTCTCCTTAGGAAGAAGATTGGATGATGTGAGAAATATCAACACTTGGGAAACGTAGACGGTCCGCAGAGTACCTTTTAAGGACTAAGAATTTCCTCTGCACAGTTCTGCCCTTTAAGAACTGGGGAACTAGGAAATGCCCTCCACTGCAGTGAGAATGGAAGAGTGCTGAACTCTACAATGAAATGGGAAGTCCCTGGACTTCCAGATTTGTGCCTGTAACTAATCCATTCCAGCAGGGCTGGCCGGGACCAAGCATGCACCCCAGCCTGCCACCCCAGATGGAGGAGCAGGAGCATGCTTGGGATTCTTTGGTGGAGAGTGGCTGCCACCCTGGCCTTTCTTCTAGGCCCTTTGTGGGGACTTGGTGCAGAGACCCTTTGTCTCAGTGACTTCCGTGACTGGCTGGACTCCTTCCTCTCTTAGGTAAGCCAGGCCAGGAAATGCAAGGAAATATTTTAATTTATCTAGAAGCAGCAATCCTGTGACTAATGGAAAAGAGGCCTTCTGGTCTGGCCAGCTCTTCAGTCAAATGGTGCTAGTTATGACTTAAAATAAAATTTACCCTAACATCTGTAAACAGCCTGCTTAGTGCCCCAAATATGGTTTGATCTGAGGTTTCTGGGGGAATGCTGGCTGCCACAGTAGGGTGTGGAGGTGGCCCTGGGGTGTTCTGTGATGTGGAAAGGAAGCATTGTCTTCTGGGAAAATACCATGTGATGACAAAGCTTAGGTTAGAAAAGCTACCTTGGGGGCTGGAGAGATGGGTCAGTGGGTAAAAGCCTTGCTGCATTATCCAATCTGTGGCCAGTGCCTGTAACCCCAGCATACTGGGTGGACCAGAGAGACCAATTCCTGGTGTTGGGTATCTACCCAGTCTAGTCCAAATTGAGTTTTGGGTTCAGAGAGAGACCCTGTCTCAAAAAAATAAGATGGAGAAGGAAGTGAAGTCAGCTCCAGCCTCACAAGTTCCTACACAGGCAAGTGTACCTGCACAGGTTCACACACATGCATACAACACAGCTACTGCTCTGTGACAGGATATAGGTGAACAAATCCATACTGATCAGATGGCGTGACGTGGGGGAGCTTTGTAGTGACAGTCCAGGTTTTAAGCAGTAGGGCCTCCCCAGCAACCCACCCACAGTCCTGGTGCACTTAACTCCCCTGCTGCTCAAATGCTCTGTGATCAGGAAATGCAAAACCTAAGAAAACATTTGGCAAGGTAAATGTGCTGCCAAAAATGCACAGCATTTCAAAGCCAACTATAAACATCTTGGAATTATCTGCACTTCTACATTATTTTCTGACCAGATAATCTGGATCAGATGGGAAAGTACCAGCTTTCCCTTTGCTCTTCTCTTCATGGAAGGTGCTTGGCCATTCCAGTTACCATTCTGTTTCCAGACTTCCACCTCCTGCCAAGAACCTTCCCACTTCGGGACAGGAAGGCCTGCCAACACCTAGGTGGCAACAGTTAGCAGCTGGGTCCAGCAGGATGGAAAAAAGATTTCCAAAGTGATTAAAAAGTCCTGTCTTTCTGTTTAGGGAGCCTTCCCTCAAGTTGGAATTTGGAACTCTCAGTATTAGATTTGGCCCCTAAGACTTAACTCTGCAAATTAAACACTAGACGCTTGGGACAAGTGAGAGTCCATTTTCCAGAACCTTTCCCCATCAATCAAGTGTTGTCAATTTTGCCTAGATGAAGAGTCCATCTTGAATATCCACTGCTTTCACCCCAGGCTAGACCACTGCACCCTGAAATAACTAAACTCCTAACTGATCCCTGCCCACCTGCATGCAGCTAGACTGAGAAGCCTTCCTAAGAATGCAAGTCTAAGCAAGTCTCTCCCTGGCTTGATTACAACCCTACAGGAATTGCCATTAAAGGATCTGCCCTCCACTACCACCTCCAACTTCTTTTGTCAATTTTTTCAGGCCTCCTTTAAGCCTCAGCTGAAATGTCACTTCCTCCTGGAAGGCTCGGCTGATTCTTCCCTCTCAAGCAGGTCAGGGGACCTTCCCCTGAGCCCAAGACACTTATTGCAGTGTCACACACGCTATCAAAGTTGCTGTTTAATCGTGTAGCTTCCCTGCTAGCCTCCAGTAAGAATTACATTTTCATATTAAAACCCAGGTCACGCATAACGTAACCAAAAAAGTTTCATGAAATTCTTACTTGGTTAAAATCCTATTCTAGGGTGCTGGATATGAAGCTCAATAGCTGTCAAACATACCAGAAGTTCTAAGTCCATCTGAAATGGACTGGAGGTGGTGCACAGGCCCACACACTCCACAGGTAGAAGCTGGAGTTTCAGGACTTCAGCCTAAGCCATTTATCTCCAGGACCACCTGGGCTGCATTAGACCTGGTCTGAAAAATCCTATTGTTAGAGAATCAGCAAGCCCCATAAATTGAACTAGTCCAGACTGAAAAATTCCTATCTGTTGGAGGATCCACTTTTCCAGTCTCACTGGTCAATTACCTGGTGTTAGAGCCATTCCCAGGAAGGCTGGTTCACCTTAAGTTATGCTAAATAGATGGGCGGAATACCTGGTGTGTTAATTAGGTAGTGAATATTTTCTTCCTGGAACTAGCTCAGAGCCCCACAGAACTTCCAGATCAGCCACAGCCATGTAAGTCTCCATATGTCTCCTTTTCTTCTTCATGCCTTTCTTACTAAACATGCTTTCTTCAAGGCTTTGGGCTGCCCCTAGCATCTAGTATTTCTTCACTTTTTCTCTAAAGCTTCCTTCTCTCAGCCATGTGGCTGTGAGTCAACCATGCGTCTGACCTTCATGCAGGCTATAAACCTGCATGGCTCCATGGCTTTCTTTCCTTCTTCCCACTATTCACCTGCCCAAGGCAGCTGCCAAGATTACCAGTTCGCCTGCCCTGAGAATTTTTCTTTAAGATTCTAATAAAGTTGTAAAAGCTTCTGTTTGGGTCCATTCTTAAATTCTTTTATGAAGGAGACTAAGAACTCTCTAGGGGACCCTCTTTCTCCCTGTATCACTATCCTGACTTACATAAAGCAAATCTATGTTGCTATGTGGCTGGAGAGATGACTCAGCGGTTAAGAACACTGGCTGTTCTTGCAGAAGACCTCGGTTCAAATCTCAACACCCACATGGTGGCTAACAACCATCTGTAACTCCAGTTTCAGGGGATCCCATGCCCTCTTCTGTCCTCCTCAAACACTACATGATCATGACATGGGTGCACTTACACACATTGCAGGCATAACAGTCATACACATAATAAAAGTAACAAAACTATTAAAACCTTGAAGCGGGATAGAGTTCCTGGTGTGAAAAACAAAATACCCTGAACTCTGTGACAGGTAGGGCTGAATAGGATTTTGGTAGCTATTTGTTATGGAATTATTAAGACTAACTCCTTTCCTCCTCAAAAACCCCACAAGGGAACTATTTCCTACCCATTTGCATGTGAGGCAGTCAAGGCAGTGAGATACGTGCCAGGGCCAGGATTTGACCCTGGGTAATTTGGATTCAGAATTCCTACTCTTACTCATCTAAAGCTCAGTATTGCTTGCTTCCAGGTGGATGAGTTTGGGGTCTGAGGATGTCACAAAGGGTCTCTTTGCAATACCCTTAAGCTGGATCTCTATCCCTGCCTGGAATGACTGGGTAGGCAGTGTTTATGCAGAGGAAGGCAGAGAGCCAGTGGCAGTTCACACTCAGTCTTCTCCAGGTTCAGCAAATTAGGAGATTGATTTGTGAAAAGGAAGAGTACAGGCACTTTGGGGATGGAAACTTCATATTATCAGCTACATTTGTTAGGTTCTCACCTACACACCTGCCCAAACAAACTCTTTAAGGAGGAAACCACCCTGAGGTCAGGTTGGGGTATTCATTTCGTCATAGAGAGGAAGCTGGATTCACACTGGAATGAAATGATCATACTCCTCCTTGGGGCTTAGTGCTGTTTATAGGTTTTTAATTTGTAAAAATATCATT